TTATGGGATGAAACAAAGATTGCCCTGACAATATTTCGAAAATTGAAAATGTCCATCATATTCGCTGTAAGTGAGAGGCAGAAGCAATCTGAAATAACTTGCTTGGCGGCAAATGCCAGTAGCAGCCGCGACTTCCTCATTCGGGGGTTGCTCTGCATCAAGCTGATGGTGGGTCCAACTTTCTGGCATATGCTAGCACCAATTTAGCACTGAAACGAATGAACGAATCGTTCAGTAAGATTGGACTGGTTGCCTGTTAGGCTTTTTCGAAATTTCGACTTTCTGCAATGATAACAGTGGCACACCGCACTGCACCATACTGCCATAAATGTCCGAGAGTACAAAACTGATTTATTTACAACGCAGCTTTGCGCATTAATAAGCCGGATACAGAGGCCAGCGTAGCGGAAAATCTTTGAGTAAAGTTTTTTCTCTATTGCTAAATCGATTTTGTTTGAGGAATCAGTGAAGCGATCTTCGTTGGTATTTGTAAACACCGAAGAAATGCTGGATTTTCCACGTCTCATTAACCATAAAATTGTATACGTCGGCGGAATTGCTGTCCCAAAACCAGAATCTCTCGCCCCTGTGCGTATAACCTTTATAATTCTTAACAAAATTCGTTAAATGCATGAACATTTCCTTCCGAAGCGCGCTTATTGCTTGTAAGTATAGAAATACGAGCGCATAATGGAAAAATCCGAAGATGGCGTTGTTCTGGTGTCGTTTGGAACCGTTTTCAAAGGCCATTATATGAGTACGGATGGAAGGAAAATCCTCCATGATGCTTTCCGGCAATTACCGCAGGTATTTAAAAATCCAATAGTTTTTCGACGTCACTTAACTAACCGCTCAGTTCCAAAGCATTAGCAGAATGCATGATATTTTAGCAGATCAGGTTTCAAAGAGAACGAAATGGGCTAGCAAGTTTTTTGGGAACATATATGTCTGGTCCGGCATATCAAAAAACCCTTAAAAAACTGAATATATACAACATCACAAAATTTCCTCAAAATTCGCAAGGATCTCAATGTCCCACTACACCAATCAACACACCAAAACGCATTGAAACACGGCGACTGCTGCCACCCTCCATGGCGACTCATACACACCTCGGCCATTTCACCCGTCGGTCCTAACTTATATACGTGAATCATGTGTCGGTTTCTTGCCTGTCCGTTACGCAGTATTACTACGATCAGAACATATAATTACTGCTATCTCCTAGCCGGTGACTTCTTGAAACGGCTAAAGCTCTGCCAGTGCTTCTATCGAAAGAACCGCTGAATTGACAATTCCTACAGAAAATGAAACGAACGCCAGGACTGCTAGCGAGCAGTACGGTACTGCTTCAAGCGAATGAAAATGCTGCCAACTGTACAGCGGGGAAACTAGGCTTTATGTGACTGCTAACCAAAGTATTAAGAAAAAATCACTTAAGAAGTAAAAAAAAAGTTTTATAAAAGGCCATATGAAGCAAGCACTATCCTGACCTTTTGGCCTGAACTACCTGCCTCTTTTCACTCAAGAATTCAGCTTAGCCCTGCGAACGAGTATGTAATAAGTCATATAAATTCGAAAAGAAAAATGATTTTTTCTTTCAGATAACCTTTATTTGGAAATACGAAATTGAGGACAACACAGGATTGGATTTGCCCAACGTGATCAAAACAAAGTGGTTTCCACAAAACGACCTTCTTAGTGAGTTCCTTCAACAAAATTAATGAATTATCAATTTAAAAATTGCTAAGCATACAAAAATTGTTTTAAGATAATTTGCAAGAATGCCGCATTGAACAATAGACATATAACAGTGTTTTTGATTTGCGTTTACCTTCATATTTTAAACAGCTGCAGTTCGCAGAAACTTTTTTAGTCGATTTGGGCAATGCTAAAATTCCCGGTGGTTATTCTCATGATGATCCCGGTGTTCTTTACACCTCCTGAAAGGATTGCAGTTCAGCCAAAAGCTTCTTGGCAATGCGAAGGCCGTTTCGAGATCTCACTTGTTGGTGCTGAACACCTTCACCAGCTTACTGCTCATTTCGAGCGCTGCTGCACAAATAAGCTGGCAACTTTTGTCATTTGCTTTATCACCGGTGCTACATCACTTTTTTTAGCCGTTGCTGTATTGGCCACTGTGCCCGTTCATTCATCTTCTCAAGCAAGTCTCCGTTGTTATAAATCTGAATGCAGAGTGTTCTGAAAAGCTAAAGTGAAAGCTGACATCGTAGTTATTAGAGGTGAAATTTTTAACGATAACAGTTCTATGCCCTCTCAATCTTTGTTACCAGCCGCAGCGTTCTTCCATCGCTTTCTCAATCTCTGTTCCTCTTCTAAAACGTATGCTGGAGAGCCGAATAAGTGCCCTCTCAATCTCTGTTACAGATCGCGTTATATTTCGGTCATTTTCTCAATCTCTAGCAATCTCTCTTCGTCTACACAACAGCTATAGGAGAAAACTAGAGATTGAGAAAACGATGAAAGACAGTGCCCTTATTGACAGCGATTGCGAGGGCGAACGAAATATTGACTAACAGGCAGAGAGGGGAGTGCCAGCGCTGGTACGGGGACGAGGGCCGCTCCGCGAACATTTTTTACTGAATACAAGCCAGCTGGTTTTCCCGACAGTTGGAAGTCGGATGTTAACCTTCGCTCCAGGTGTTTTTTCTAGGAGCCCTGGCTGATCGAGTTCTGAACGATATTCACTTCATAAAAGACAAAGTACGGAAGTTGTGTTAGTAGTATTTCAGCATTTGAGCAGGGAGGAATTCATAGAATTTGTACTGCTAGTAAATGTAGCATATACTAAAAATGCCAGGACCGCCTTGGTAAAAGTCAGTATTGGTAATATTTGCCCTTCAGCTATCCAGTGAACTATATAAAGCCACCTGGTGTAATGGAGAGAAAAAATTCTTATGATCGTCAGAATGATGAGAAATGGTTGTTATCAGGAAGATGAAAGTAGTGTTATTGTTTAATTAAACGGGGCTAGTTGTGCTCCCATTTTCTTTCGATAAAAGCGATCAGTTGATGCCCCTTCAGAAAAAAAAA